AGAGAGAGAGAGAGAGAGAGGAAAGAGAAACGAACAAATAATATAACACTAGGGAGCTAACAGTGCTCTGAAGAAAAACAAAGCAAGGGAAGAAGACAGAGTATTTGAAGTGCTAGTTTAGATAAGATGGTAAAGAAAGGCCTCACTGAATTGGTGGCATCTGAACAGAAACCTGCATGAAGTGAGGAACTGAGCCATATAAATATCTGTGTGAAGTATTCCAGGCAAAGGGAACAGTGAGTACAAAGACCTGAAGTGAGGCCTGAGCTTGGATCCTTCAAGGAACAAAAAGGTCAAAGTGACCATAGTATAGTGAACAAGGGGAAGAATGCCAGGAAATTAGATAGGGAAGGTAGTCACAGGTCAGATCTGATGAACTCTTTCAGGCCCTGGTAAGGGCTTTTGAATATATTCTACACATTGTTTATGACTATTTAGGAAAAATGTCTTTGGTTACCTCAGCAAGAAAATCCTCATGACTAAAGCAAGCCAACCCAAGGATAGATTTATTTTAACTGTTTGGGTACGTAAATATTTTTTAAAAAGTTAAAAAAAAAAAGATGTATAAAAGAACATACATCTCTTACATCCCTGTCCCATAGTTAGTTTTTCTCTTCACACACAATCTCTGCTAGTGGTTTCTTGTAATATCCTTCCAGAGGGTTTTTTTTTTTATCAATAAGCTAATATTAATATGCAATCTGCCCCTTTTAATAGATGGCAGCCACAGCATACATACCAAACACACTTTTACATCATTTTTTATTCAATAATATACAATGTAGATCTTTCCTTATCAGTACATAAAAACTTCATTTTTTGAACTATTATATAATATTTCTTTTTCTGGATATATCCTAATTAGTTTAACCAGTCATCTATTGATGGATAGGTGTTTCAGCTATTTCCAATCTATTATAAATCATGACTACAGATACCTATTTTTTATGCTATTATAAATGATTCTTATATACTAATTTTGCACAATGAAAAAATGCAATTGTTGTATTGCATTTGCAGTTTTTATATATTTTGAAAGCTATTGCCAAAGATATTGATCCTCTTTTACAGGATTACACCAATTTATGTCCACCAGTAATATATGAAAATGCTGGTTTCCCTGTGTCTTCTGCAACAGTATTTTCGATGATTAAAAACAAAAATCTAGGGCCGGCCGAGTGGTGCAATGGTTAAGAGCTCGCTTGGGATGCCAGAGGGCCCCGGTTCGGATCCCACATATGAAGGCCAGTGACACTGCCCTCTACAGCTAAGATGCTGAACAACAGCTCAACCTGGAGCTGGGCTGCCGTGAGTCGCAGGGGACGG